GAGGGGAGGAGAAGAGGGGAGGAGGGGGGGAGAGGAGAGAGGGAGGAGGAGGAGGAGGAGGAGGAGGTGGAGGAAAGTGTTCAAGATCCCCATCCCAATAGACAAAGCTGGGTAGGGGATGTTCATCTGTCAACCCAGCTATGAGAGAAGCAGAAATAGGATCATAGTCTAGACCAGCTGGCAGAGGGAATAGACCTTATCTTGAAAATAACCAGAGTAAGAAGGCTTGGGGTATGGCCCAAGCATTATAGCTCCTGCCTAGCAAGTGTGAAGCCATGACTTCAAACCCCAGTACCATGAAAAAGAATTTTTTTTCAAACAAAAAAGAAGAGGTACAAGTTCATCCAAGGGCCAACAACAAGAATCCTTAGAGAAATATCAGGTAGTTGATGAAGGCTTTCTGCTTTTCTCTAGGAATGTGCACTTTTAAGTACATTCTTAAGAAAATGCATTATGTTCATTAAAAGAGATAGTATGTATATGCAGAATACTTAGCACTGTGTCTGGTCTATAGTAAATTCCCACTACATCCCGTCCTACCTCCAATTTCCTTGCCTTCACGGTACCTCAGCTACAATGTCCTCGCCCACTAAGGACCATAGAAGACACCCAAGATGCCTGTCCTTGTTCTGATTCTGTTTCTATCTCTACTTCTTCCACTTCACCACAGAGACTAGAGCCTCAAGTCAACAATTTTCAAACAATCATCACATACCAACTCATAAGCTTTACAGGTTTGTGGTAACAACACAAATACTTCTCTGGAGGTGGAAGCTAACAACCCTTGTGCAGCCTTGGAAATAAGCTCTGGGACAAGGGAAGGGCTTTCATGAAAAAGGTCACCTTGAAAGAGATGCTAAAGCCAGACGGTACCTGTTTCACATCTTTGTCGCTGGCCCCATTGGCTAGGATGTCCTACACTTCTTCCTATAATAAAATATCCATCAAAGAAACCACTTCAGAAAAATTAAAATATAAGTGGTTTCAACATCTATTGAAAAATTTATTCTGAAATAGAGCAGAAGCAGGAAACATGTCTCCCAATGCATATATTTATATGCCTATGAAGATATATAGATATAGATACAGATATATCAGGATGAGTTCCATGCCATAATTAGCTAACTATCTGGCTTATTTCCCCTGGCTTTTATCATCTAAAAAATTCCATTTTAGAAAACAAGCATATTCACTTTAGTACTGAATTTAGTAACAGCAGTATAATTGGAACACTGCAAGTTTTGAAGGCAAACTGAAGCAAAATAATACAATACTCAATGAGACACCGGGTTCTGCCACATCTCCAAAGAGCTTTGAAAATGCTGTCCTGGTTTTCAATAGCTATGCAATAACTCAAAGAGTATTTATTATTCTCTTTCTTAGAGGGAGACAATCTGCAATAGAATTCAACAACCGGCTCAAAATCAACTAATAAGTGAATAGCCAGTAGAAAGACATCCCAAACTATTTTAAAAAGCCATCACTCAAATGACCAGATTAACTATGTTCTTTCACAGGATGGGTGGGATGGAAACCTTCATTCATTATTAGAGTCAGGATGTGTTCCCACAAAACCTATTAAGGAAACCTGCATAATTGAACATAGAATTAGGAAAATCCCATTTGCTAACCATCATGAAGCAGTATTGCAGACACCTCCAGCACAGCATGTCCAAATGAAATAATCTCCTCTTCTCTGCCCCCATTAACCCCCAAACTATCCCTCTGACCCCCATTTTAAACTTAACAACTAAGAGTGCAGACTCAAAATACAAAAGTCATTCTAAGACTGCTTGTTTCTCCCTCCTGATACCCACTCACCAAGTACTATTCACTCTTCCTTCTAAATAGTATTTAATTGTTCTTTCAATTCACTAGAACAATACAATGTTCTATCCATTACCCCTCTGCTAACCTCTGAGTCCAGCCCAGGTACAGTGGACACTTCTGGTTCCACTATGAAAGTGTTCATCTCAAGCACCCTGCTCTGCTGTTTGAAATTTGCCCAGGGCTTAGGACCCCACCTGAAGCTTGAACTCAGAGCACCGAGCATCTGGGAATTGAAGGCCTGCAGGGGCAACTCTCTGTCAATAAGGGACAGGAGTTAGTAGACTAATACCCTAGCTTTCCTATTTCTTTGAGGAACCATTTTGAGCCATGTTCTACAAGTTCCCTTGAGGATCTTCAGTAAATCTTAGCCCCAGTTGCCCACAACAGTAGCCCACCCAGTAGCATCCTTTATTTGCTTTCT